ATCACAATGGTAATGTAGGAGGGCTGCAGCTGGCATTCCTTGGGGTGGGACATTTGCAGGCAGGCTGCAATCCTGCCACGCTCAGAGGCATCTGCTCGCTTCACTGTGGGTAGTTATACAAGTGGGCCAAATTCTGAGCTTGTAACTTAGAGCATGAGCCAAATTACACAAGACAGTTCTGTGGTAATGCTCTGTATATCCAGTGATTCTTCACCCCTGAAGCAGGGTTTGCTGAGGCTGGATCACAGCCTTCCTGTATGCACAACCTTCCCACAGGAGCCAAGTGTCCCAGGAATACCGGGATGGGTTAGTGTCCACTGCTCCAGCTCAGGGTAGTGTGCATGGCTTGCAGCAGTGCTGCTTGTGAGGTGGCTGACAGCAGCCACCAGCAAGGGGAAATACTTTCAGTTCCAAAATTGCAGCTGCTTAGGACAATTTATCTGCCTCCTGCAAGAAACGGATCTTACAGAAAACAGCTGAGATCTTCTGGCGCCAGAGGACAAAGGAAATCCCAGTTGTTGGCTCAAAGGAGGCTACCTGGGAATGGCTGTTTGCTTTCCAGGAGACTGCCTCTGTGTGGGTGGATAGATGACTTCAGGAATAAAAAATAGCAGTGACCTTAGTATGGGGCTTTGCATCCCTGCATTTGTGTGCGCTACACAGATCTCTGGGCAAATACTCCCTCTTCCCTAGCCAGTCTTGTCCTTGATGCCAGAACCAACCCCCTTTTCTTGCTGGTGTCCATGGCCAGTGCAGAGCAGAGCTAAGCTGCTTGGCAGCCATGAAGCAGGCTGGAAATGTCATCAGGCCCTGGCTTTCCTCCTGAGATGCAGGAAGCTGTGGGATGGGAGATTTTGTGAATGACAAAATCTCTGAACCTTTCTAAAGCCAGATTGGAGAGGGGACCTTGCTAAAAGTCTGCCAGCCTGCAACTGGATGGAGTGTTATTCCCTCCAATGTCCCCTCTAATGTCTTCCTTCTGGCCCAGCTTCCTGCCTTTTTTTTTTTTTTTTAATTCTGAAGGTGCTTGCCTGAGGTGGCTTGGCAAAGATCTTTCTAAATTATGTTATAGCACTTATTTTTGGGGGGTTTGTGGACATATTTTTGTGTATAGGTCATACAATATCAGCCTGAAAGCCCATAGGCTACTATGGACAGAAATGGTGTGCATGCTTTATTATATTTTTAAGTAATCTCCAATTTCTGTAACTTTGGTTGCTTTCTGTAAGTTTCTTAATTTGCTGAGCAAGCCTCAGAAGGAAGTACTTTTGGCTCTGTGTCTCCTTATTTATGTAATATATATATATTTAAATGGTCTGACCCAAATCAAAAATAGTTTGTGAGGAAAAAGGCTTTTCATTTTGAATCCCAGTTTGCTTTTGACACTGAGGTGGGCACGTGTGTGGGGACGAGGCCGGTTTTCAGCCTGTCTTCCTCCTCAGATCGAGCTGGCCATTCTTCGCTTCCCGTACGAGTCCTGGGGGACCCCCTTCCAGCAGCTCAAGCAGGTGGTGGAGGAGCCTTCCCCCCAGCTGCCTGCTGATCGCTTCTCCAAGGAGTTTGTGGACTTCACGGCACAGTGGTGAGTCTCCAGCAGGGACTGGCAGCTTCTCCCAGCCTGGCTGGACCAGCAGCCCGATCCATAGGGATCGGAATAAAGCATAGGACAGGGTTTGTCGTCATTTCGGAGCCTCTTTCTCCCCATCTCCCCATGCTGAGCTGGCGTTTGGCCACAGCAGGAAGCGCTGCCCAGACTGATGTTGCTCTCAGCCTGACTCATTCAAGCTGGTTGGAAAGTGAAGAGGTTTCTCTTCTCCTTTTGCTCTTAATACTGCTGAAAATTTTGGTAATTTCTGGCAAAGTGGCAATGAAACCAGAACAACCCCCTGGCCAGTGTCTGGGTGCCTCTGGGTAAAAGCTGCTTTGTGGCTTTGTGGGGACTCTGCAGTAGCCAACGAGCAGCTCTGCGGCCTCGATGCCGCTTGCTTCAAGCTGCTGGACAGAGGTGAGCCCAGCGAGATGGGTCTTGAACAAACCCTGAGAGTCTCCCCACCCATTGTCATGGCAAAATAACCCCAGGTTGCCTTTTCCAGGTACCTGGCTCACAGTTTTGTGCGGTCCTGGGGTTCAAATCTGCATGGCTAAACGGGGAGAGGAATGGGTGCTGCCCAGGAGAGAGGGGGTTGTTGCTTGGGGAAGGGGGATTCCTTTGTGATAGACCGTGTACAGAAAAAAGGAACCCACAGCCCATTTCCCCCAATTTTCTTTTCCAGCTTAAGGAAGAACCCTGCTGAGAGAATGAACTATTTAGAACTTATGGTAAGTGCCGAGTCATTTCCTCTGGTATTTTAGTCTTCCAACATGTTTTAAAAGTGAAATGAATGGTCCAGTAAGTCCCTAAAAATGGGACAACAGGAGATAGGGGGAACTTCTCAGCCTTGGGGGTGCATAGCAGGGTGAACATAGCATGTCTAGGCTGGAGGGATGTGGAAAGGTTTGGGGGTTTGGGACTTCTAGGTGTTTTCTCCTTCTATCATCTACGTTTGGTGGGTGTAGACTAACAGCCTCAAGCGATGGTAGAACAGCTGCCATGGTTGATCATCCAGCTGGGGTTAAACCTAGAAACATCAGATGTGAAGGCATTAACCTTTGAGCTAAAGGCTGGCATCTATGGGAGCTTTGGGATCCACCAGGGACGGCTCTTGTGCTCATTTTAACTCGGGCAGGAATTGATGTTATCTCGGTTCTTGTTGGCAGGAACATCCTTTCTTTACCTTGCACGACACCAAAGAGACTGACATGGCCTCCTTCGTGACAGAGATCCTCGGGGAAGACTCCTAACTCCCAGACCTCCTGGCTGCGTACAGTCCCCTTCATCCAGCACCCGACTTCTGTGCAGAAGAGCAAATGAGGACTCGTGTTAACAGTGGTTTGCACAAATCGCATTTCCCCAGCCCGTTGGCATCTCCGGGCCTTGCAGTTTCTTTTTTCTTTGCCCAAATGAACCCCAACCAGGATGAGCCTTTTGAAGCTGACACGCACTCGACTAAGCTGCCGAGACCGAAGGCTCAGGAGCTCCCCGGCTGGTGCCCGGCAAATGCCGTGAGCGGCGCAGGGAGAGGCCTGTGGTCCCCGAACTGAGGCCAGGAGGCTGGACTGGGGCGAAGGATGCGGAAGGGCCTCTCCCTTCCCCAAGAGCCTGCGCACAGCGCGGGGAATTCCTGCGTTTATTCCCCTTTGCTGCCTGAGGACAGCCGAGGGAGCAATTTTTCCTCCTGCTCCCTTCCTCTTCTCCCTTGCCTGCAGGGAGCCCAAAGGCCTCGTCCCACAAAGCCCAGTCTCCTTTTTCTTTCCTCCATGCCCAGCTCTGTGCCACCAGGATCCTGGAGAGCTCTTAGGAGGCCCTGGGGCTGCGCTTGGCGCCTGCCACGAGGTCTCACGGCTCTTCCAGGCAGCACCAGACCTGGTGGCCCCCTCCCACTGCCCTCACCGAGTCAATGCACCAGTTGCATAGGGAAAAAGGAAAAAAAAAGGCATTTTTAAATGAACCCAGCTTGTTCTAAGCTTCACCCCACACTCCCCAGAGCACAGAGCCCGGGGCGCTGCCTCCCTGCCCGGGCTGGATGCAGCCCGTTCCTCACCCCGCGGCCGGTCCGGATTGAGGGCATCGCTCCCTGCGTTCGCCTTTCCCGCTCCGGCCAGGAGGATGCTCCATCCCCCTTCCCACGGGGGCTCCCGTAAGACCCTGCACTGTGCCACGCGCCCGTTGGAGGCCACCCAGGTCCCACGCTGCCGCCGAGCCCCTCGGCCACCCGCCGGCACCGCAAACCCAGCGCCTTGCACAGGGGCTGCTGACAGTTGTACATTTTGTGTCTATATATAACGGACTTTGTAACGTGTTTTGATCTAACTTGCTATAAATTAAAGCCCTTCTGCGTGGGAGGAAGGAGGAGCAGTTCCTTCTCCGCTAACAAATCCACTGTGAAAACCTGATGTGTTTCCCCGCACTCCCAGCCTGAGCGCTCCCCACGGAGCTGCGGGAGCAGAAGGGATCGCTGTCTTCTACTGTATATGATCACAGGATAAACGCACCAGCTGTGGATTTTGTGGATTTTTGTTTTGTTTTTTTATTATTAGATTGAGTTTTCAGAGGGATTTTGTCTTTTCTAATATATATTGGTGTGTGTGTCCGTGTGTGCGCATATATATATATTATATATTTTTAAATCAGTGATGAATGTGTGAATATATATGTGGCCAGCAAATTTGGTGAAATGGCTAGCAACGTTCTGGCTTAATTTGGGAAGGCTGGAAAGGAGTCACTAAAAGATACCCTGGCCTGAGACATTTTTTTTTTAGTACATCTATTTTTTAAGTGAGTCTTTAAAGAAAAAAATAGATTTTTTCCTGAATTTCATGCCCTGGAGGTCTGGATTTGGGGCTGCGTTTCCCGTGTTCAGGGTATCTGGCCCCACAGAGAGCGAAGCCCCCCAGATTCATGGCTCCCTCCTCTTGCAGTCCCCGAACCCAGGATCTATCTGCTCCCAATGGAGCCTGCAACGGCTGCCTTATGCCTCCCATTCCCACAAGCTGCTCCCAAGGAAAGCTTGTTTTTCAATCCTCAATACCCCCCGGGAATGCCAGGGAAGCACACGGCGTTTTCCCTAGAGAGCACTCGCATGCGTTTCCCCACACTGTCGAGCCCCAAACACCGGCTGCGACGGCCAAACCCAGTGAAATTCGGGGTGCCCCTGGTCCCACCACCCCTTAGTGCAGCGATTCGTGTCGCCGCTCCTTGGTCCCGCTGCGAAGCTCCTGGCACTCCTGAAGCCGCACAGGATGGGTTGGGATGGAGCTTTGCAACCCACGTGCACAAGTCTGGGATTTATCCCACCTCGTTACTTTGGATTGGTTTTGTTTCCCTGCGGAGCTTTCGTTTCCCCACAACTCCTTGTTGTGACCCCGCTCCCCTATCTCACCCCCTCTTTTTTTTTTTTTTTTTTGGTGTTTTGGGGAATGGCTGTGTTTCTTTTTTAATTATTATTTTTTGGCTGCATTTCACTTCCTGGAGCAAGACCTGGCTCCTGCATTTTAGTAAAAGGAGCATCCCCAACGCTGGTTCCTGGGAGGTGCAGCTGGGTGAGTTGGGCCACCCCTTCCCGGCAGCTCCACGCAGCCTCGTCCGGCCGAGCTCTTTCCTGCCCTTCTCCCGTCCAGCACATTCTCCTCCTGCTTCAGTTAGTCCCTTCTCCTTGCACTAATTGCAATGGGGATGAAGAACTGGCAGGATCTAGGCTGGCTTTGGGGTCGGGGAGGATTTCGAGGTGGATGGGAAGCCCCTCTAGCGTTGTGTTTTTGAGAACGTTCTGTACCCGTTACACCCTGTCCTTGTTTTCAATAAAATTAGCCCTCAAATGAGCTGCTCGTTGCTTCTTCTGTGGCTGGGGGGGTTTGTTCAAGCTCTTGGCCAGTGGCCCTGGTACCAGTGTGACATCCCCTCGTCCTGCATCCACGAGGTCCCCAGATGCCAAATTGCTCTGCCTGGAGCCATTGCTGGGGTTTGGCTTTGGGTGGCCTTGGGTCACCCTCCGCTGTGCTCCTTCTCCAGGCCCAGCCATGCTCCCGGGTGAAAAGCAGGAGCTCCTGGAATTGCTGTGGTGCCGGAGCCGCTCCATGTGCGAGCGAGCAGAGCCGGACCCGCCGGCT